ACAACATGAATTTGAACATATGATGCAACTTGGTATAATCCGCCCCTCTGACAGTAACTGGTCGTCACCCCTGCACATGGTTGCAAAGAAAACCCCTGGAGATTGGCGTCCTTGTGGTGATTATCGTGCACTCAACAATGTAACTCTTCCTGATCGGTATCCTATACCTTACATGCAAGATTTTACATCCACATTACATGGTGCAACCATTTTCTCTAAAATTGATCTCGTCAGAGCATATCACCAAATCCCTGTCGAGCCCAGCGATGTACCAAAAACTGCTATAACTACCCCATTTGGTTTGTTTGAGTTTGTTCGCATGCCTTTTGGATTACGCAACGCCGCACAAACTTTTCAAAGATTTATCGATCAAGTGACAAGCGGACTTGATTTTTGTTATGCATATATAGACGATTGCTTGTTGCAAGCTCTAATGCCCAGGAACACGAAAATCATTTGCGACAGTTGTTTACTCGCCTCAATGAGTATGGTGGTGTTCTTATTCCAGCATCATTGGAATTCTTAGGACACCATGTGGATGCCAAAGGTATCCGACCACTTCAAACAAAAGTTGACGCGATCCAACAATTTCCACAACCAAAGACATTTACGCAAACTCCGCGAATATCTTGGACTTGTTAATTTTTACCGTTGATTTATACCTCAATGCGCCGAGATCTTACAACCTGTTACAGCATTACTTGTAGCAACAGGTAAGAAACAAGATCTCATTTGGACTGACGCAGCATTGACTGGATTCACAAACGTAAAAATCGCCCTTGCTAACGCTACACTCCTCACCCACCCGCAGCCAGATGCACCCTTGTGTATTATGGTAGATGCTTCGGATATGGCTATAGGAGGTATTTTGCAGCAACGCATTGACGACAATTGGCAACCGATCTCTTTTTACTCTCAAAAACTTAAACCAGCAGAGACACGATACAGCACGTTTGGTCGTGAGCTTTTGGCAGTGTATCTCTCAGTTAAACATTCCCGTCATTCTTTTGAAGGACGCTCATTTCACATCTTAACTGATCACAAGCCACTCGTTTACGCCTTTCGCGCTAAAGCTGATCGTCACTCTCCACGTGAAATTTGTCATCTAGACTTTATCTCCCAATTTACGACTGATTTACGTCATGTAAGCGGCAAAGATAATGCTGCAGCCGACGCACTGTCGCGCATCGAACTTAACTCTCTTGAGCACCATTCGTCTACAATGGTTGATTTTGAACGCATTGCAGTGGCACAACAAACTGATGATGAACTGTGCAAACTACGTGAATCATCATCATCACTTAAACTCCAACCATTTCAAATTGCAACTTCAGACTCAACGATTCTTTGCGATGTTTCAACGGGTAATCCTCGCCCATATGTTCCATCAGACTTTCGTCGCACAATTTTTGACACTCTTCATTCGCTATCTCATCCTGGTATTCAAGCAACTCAACGTTTAATTACAGAGCGTTTTGTATGGCCAAGTATACGCCGATGGTCTCAAACATGCATTCAGTGTCAGCGCTCCAAAGTACACCGACACACAGTCTCACCGTTGTCTACTTTTTGCACACCTGATGCTCGTTTTGACCATGTCCACATTGATATGGTCGGACCTCTTCCACCTTCCAATGGTTATAGTTATTTACTGACTTTTATTGATCGTTTCACTCGTTGGCCGGAGGCTGTACCCATCTCTGACATAACAGCAGAAACTGCCGCACGCGTTTTTGTTGATCGCTGGATTTCTTCATTCAGGGTACCTTCCACAATAACCACGGACCGAGGTCGACAATTCGAATCTACATTATTTCAATCACTAACACGATTACTTAGAACCAAACAAATTCGTACAACTGCATACCATCCGATGGCAAATGGACTTGTTGAACGATTTCATCGCCATTTGAAAGCCTCTCTCAAGGCACACAATGACCCTACAAAGTGGACTGAACATTTACCCCTTTGTACTTCTAGGAATTCGCACTGCACTTAAGGAAGATCTTGGACATTGTGCGGCAGAGCTTGTGTATGGTACTACATTACGATTACCAGGACAATTTTTTGATAAACATTCTGAACTTACTGATTATCCTAATTATGTGCATAGATTACGTGATATAATGAGTAATTTTTATCCCCTCCAACCCGCACCAATCCTAATCGTAAATCTTACATCAGTCAGGATTTACTAACTTGTACTCATGTGTTTGTTCGTAGAAATTCCGTTCGTAAACCATTACAA